TCAAAAAACTACAATGAGGTATCACCTCACACCAGTCAGAATGGCCATCATTCAAAAGTCCACAAATGATATAAATGCTGGAGAGGGTAAGAAGAAAATGGAACCCTCCTACACAGTTGATGGGAATATAGTTTGGTGCAGCCACTATGGAAAACAGAATGGAGATCCTTAAAAAACTAAAAATAGACTTACCATATGATCCAGCAATCCCACGCCTGGGCATATAGCCAAAGGAAAGTCTAATTCGAAAAGATACATGCACCCTAATGTTCATAGCATCACTATATACAATAGCCAAGACATAGAAACAATCTAAATGTCCATCAACAGATGACTAGATAAAGAAGTTGCAGTATATGTATACAATGGACTACTACTCAGCCATAAAAAAGAATAAAATAATGCCATTTGCAGCAATATTGATGGACCTGGAGATTGTCATACTAAGTGAAGTAAGCCAGAAAAAGAAAGAAAAATACCATATGATATCACTTATGCATAGAATATGAAAAAAATGACACAAGTGAACTTATTTACAAAACAGAAACAGACTCACAGACAGAAAACAAACTTATGGTTATCAGCAAGGCAAGGTGCGCGGGAAGAGATAAATTGTGAGTTTGAGATTTGCAGACACTAACTACTATATGTAAAATAGATACACAAGTGCCTATTGTACAGCACAGGGAATTATATTTAATATCTTGTAGAAATCTATAAAGAAAAAGAATATGAAAACAAGTATATACATGTATATGTATCACTGAAACATTATGCTGTACATCAGAAATTGACACCCAAAAAAAGAAATTGCATGATAGGGGCATTAGCTAGTATTATGGTGGTAATCATATAGCAATATGTAAATGTATCAAATAACACATGTTGCACACCTTAAACTTATATAATGTTATATGTTAATTATATCTCATAAAAATAAAATAAATAATAATTATGTGACATGGCAGAACTGTTAGCTAAAGGTATGGTGGTAATCATATTGCAATATATAGTGTATCAAATCAACACATTGTCTAATTGTACACCTTCAACTTATACAATGTTGTATGTTAATTAAGGAAGAAAGAAGGAAAAAAGGAAGGAAGAGTGTAGAGTGTAAAACTGATGGCAGATTTTCTTAGGTACAAAAGGTAACCTACAGAAGAACAGAAAATAATCATACAAAATTAAAAGACTAAGAGAAAGAGGAGGAGAGGAAAAGGAAGCTAGGGAGTTGGGTCAATGAGCTAAATTCCTTGTCTTTCATAGAGGACATAAATAGGTCTTTTTTTAAGTTGATGGATCAAGAAATATAGGTCTAAACACATTATTTGCAGATATGGAGTCAACCATCAAAATAATTTTAAATGGAGGCCTCTAAAGAACAGGACCAGAAAGTAGAGGGGTGAAAAAAGATGTTTTCTTTTCATTTTTTTTTAAAAAGAGAACACAAGGAAACATCTCAAAATGTTAATGGGAGTACTTTTATCATACTGATAAAATTATCAATGAATTTCATTTTTTCCTATTTCCATAGAGTAGACAAACTTTCTACAATAATCATGCATTATTTTTATAATCAGAAACACATGCAGGCTTTTCTAATCAGGGTCAGGGAAATATTGCGGTTGTCTAATGATTACCAGACCCTTAGTCTTTGCCCTTAATCTCTGATTCACTGGAGGAGATGCAAGCACACATGGAGTTTACTAAACTCAACTTCCTAAGGAGACACAACCTCATTGGTATTAAAAAAGAAAGAGTCGTTTGGCCATAGTTAATATCTTTCCATCTCCGCACAGTCCTCCTTTTCTCAGTGCTTTATGAATGTGCTCTGGTTGAACATTCTACCCTTTACAGAGGGTGCCTATTTCTACCAATTCCCTGGCAGACAAATGTCTAACTTCAGTTCCAATATTTTCAGGAACTATATCCACCAGCAGTCCATTTTATTATAAGAGATATTATTATGAGAAAATTCTTCTGTATGTTGGGCTAAAATTGGGTCTCCAGAAACAACTGATACTGCTTACCTTGATCTTGCTGTCTGAAACTTTTCAGAACAAGTTAGGCAATCTTCTAGATATTTTTCTACAAACACTTGAAGCTGATTACCACATCTCACTGGTTCACAACACTAAGTCCATTTTTGCTACACATCTGACCTCAGCATGTCGACAATGTTCAGAACAAAACTCTTTTGTTTCCCTGGGACTAAATATGAGCTCATTCATTCATTTATTTTTTAATTCAATGCATTCAATTACCAACTGTGCACAGGGTCCTTTCAGTAAGGGTGCACCTTTGAACAAACTGGTAGAGTCTCTTACCAGCTTAGTCAAGCAAATTGACTTAATCCAGATGAGGTAAACACTGCACTAATGGCCAAACAACAATGACAGTTCAAGAGACTCAGAGAGGAACAAACAGCCCAAAGGCAGGTAGAACAGGAGGTGGAGAAATGAAGTCAAGTTGAGGAGTGAGCCTAGAAGGTTCTCATAGAAGAAGTGAACTGTTACTTTGTGAGGAATTATACTTCTAATTCTTCCAGAGAAGAAACCAATTACTTTGAAATTTTTAAGAGGAAGCTAATCTGGGCCTGTCACTCTCAAGGTGGAGGACCAAAAAAAGGATAAATTATAAATGAAGCTCCTGAAACTATGAGCAAGGATGAGTGGATTATTAGTTGAGCAAGGGTGAATGGATTATTAGCTGCGGGGGGGAGGGGAAGCAAATTATGTTGCTTTTCTTTTTATCTATAGAGTTTCATCTATAGAGAGTTGTGTTTATAAAAGTTAAACAAAATACTGATATGTCCAAACAACGGAATATTATGGATGAAACTTGAACATGGATGAACCCTGAAAGCCTTACTCTAAGTGAAAGAAACCAATCACAAAAGATCACGTGTTACATGGTCCCATTTGTATGGAACGTCTAGAATAGGGAAGCTATGGAGACACAAAGTGCATTAGTGGTTGCTTAGGGCTGGGGGAGATGGGGAGATAGGGGTTGACAGATAATAGGTTTCTTTTTGAAGGAACAAAATACACTGTGGTGATGGTTGCACATATGAAAATAATTTAAAAATTGTATTTAAAAGGGTGAAATTGTATAGCATGTGAATTATTTCTCAATGAAGCTATTTTTTTAAAGTTAAGTAATAATTATGAAAGAAACAAGACACTGATTTACTCATTACCCAACCTTTTCTTGGAAGCAGAAAATGATAGAAGACCTCTTAATTGACTGACTCTAACCCAAAGCTCTATCTCATCCCTAAGGGTACTGAAGCATGCTGTCCAAGGTTCAGGGTCTAACATATTCTTGATTCAATCCCAATACCTGGAGTGCATTTAATACTAACATTCAACAAATGGGTACTGAGTGCTTGGCCCTCAGGTCAACAAAGGAGACAATGACTCAGCTCCGGGCTCTCAGAGACTGCTCTTTTCCTATTCAGAGTAGACAAAACCCACCGCCACTCCACCTCAGGATGTCAGTGTAAATCCAACTTCCTTTGGCCAAATTCCTTCCTTCTTTTAAGGCTGCAGTAACCTGGAGTCGTTGGTCTGTATGCCCATAGAACAGTGATTTACCTTTCTAAAGCTCTGTTTAATGATCAGGACAAACAGAAAAAAGCCTTGTGAAAAGAAGCAGATGGTAGATTTTAAGAGGCAGCTTTTACAACCTCAGCTGAGAATCTTTCAGTTCCCATAAGACCTTCTCTGCATTAATCAGTGCAGCTGGCTGAGGGGCTCCTACCTTTATTCCTCCTAGGCTTTATCCCACAGCCCCTGTCCTTTCCATTATTTCCCTACTCAGGCATGTCACCTTGAGCACTCACCCTTCCTTCCTCTACTGTGATGATCATCCAGACTCATAGAAGACTTTGGGAAAATGGAAACCCTATTTCAGAGGCAAGTTTTGGGAGATGATGTTTGGATTGCCTGAATGGTGCAGAGGACACAATATATAGTTAATTTTTACCTCATGGTAGATGCCAACTGAATTATAGTCTTCTGATTTATTATAACAGTTTAAAGATAGATAATCCAGTGTTTGCTCCTCAACTGCTGAAAAGACAACTACTTGACTGACTGATTACTCATCATTGGTGTTTCAGGAGTCCAATATCCATAAAACGTAACAGTCAATATTCTTATGCAAAAATCAAAGTAATCTTAACTAAGAAATATGGCAAGGGACCAATGAGGCATAGGGCAGGTAGAGACAGGGACATTGAGAGCATGGCTCTTCTTGAGACAACAGCACCTGGGAAAGCAGATTCAAGAAATGGAAGAAGACACTTTAACTACTAAAAAAATGTCTCTATTGTGCATCACGAAATTAGTCAGGAAAATATAATAGAGTTCCCATACCTGCTTAGCAAGGTAGAGTTTGGTTATAGAAGATCTCTTGGTCCTGGAGCTATATACATGGAGTAGCTGCCAAGGGGCCAGGAGCCAGAGGAAGCCCAAGGGAATCCACACCAGAACAGTTTGCTCAAAACAAAGTGGCAGGTCCACCTCTGGGCTATCCAGGAATGAGGAATTCTGGAAGACAAAAACAAAATGTTTGTTGGATACACACATTTTTGAAGAGAGGAAAGCAGCCTCAGCCTACTCTCACCCCTACCATTGCTTCTAAACAATTATAACACAGTTTTGTTTTTTGTTCTTAATGGAGGTACTGGGGATTATACCCAGAACCCTGTGCAAGCTGAGCATGTGCTCAACCACTGAGCTATTACCCACCCCCCACCCCAACTCAGTTCTATATCCATATTCAGCCTGACTGTAGTAGAGAATAACCTTTATTTTGTTGGAGGTTTACAGGGACACCATGACCTAGCCCACAGGGATGGCTGCAAGAACAAAGAATGCCTGCAGCAAGATTACAACAATCAACTACATCCCCTCCCTCATTTTTTGTATAAAAGGACCCCGTATTCTGACTAGAGCAGGATGGTTCTCCAAGATATTAGTCTGCCATCCTCTCGGTCTGCCAGCTTTCCGAATAAAGTCGCTGTTCCTTGCCCCAACACCTCATCTCCGGATTTATTGGCCTGTCGTGGTGTGAGCAGAACAAGTTTGGACTCAACAACATGACCATTTAACTATTCAACTCCACTGATACAAAGTTGCCATTTAATAACATTTAGTGACCCTTCTGGCCAGTCCAATCTCTAAAAACCTTTCTTTCAGTGATTCTAAGTGAATTTCTCCAACAACTATTCTGAGTAAACTTCACCACATTTACCAAGTTGTGGCAAGAAGAGTGACCATTCCTCAAGTTGTGGGAAGAGGACCAACCCAAAGGGGAGAATATCCCTGGGTTATAAAAACTTCTTTTTCTAGCTTCTAGCACTGATTGAACTCACTGGCAGACATTCAGATAGGCTTAATGCTTAGTTTTGAGCTTAATTCTCAAAAATGCTTAGTCATTCTCCAATAACTAATCTCCTATGGCCCTGAGGGCTTCTGTCAGAACTCAAGGGCCTTAAGTCATGGGAGCAACAATGGCACACTGGAGGAAGACTTATTCCCATCAAGTTTTCTCCCAGTCTTTGCATTCTGCAAAAATAGAAGTGTCTTGTGAGGTGAAGGTTGGGGCACCAGTTCTTATATCTGAGTCATGTGGGGGTATATTTCTCTTTTCTTACAAATAAATATATTTTGCTTTGTACAGCTGTTTGCACATACTCTTAAAGATTGAGGTGCCCTGACCAAGATGATCTGTCAGATGATTCTCAGAGAGAATTCTCAGAAGGCGGCCTGGCGAGATCCTGGGGCAATCTTAAGCCCCACCTTCCTGTGGTATACATGTTTAGCCTTGAGGCCCAGGTTCTTTCCAGGATGGGAAATGCTGCCTGATCTTCTTATCTAAATTATCTAACTTCAGAATCCAAAAGAATTACCTAAGATAGTTAAACTATTTTAACAAGCTCTCTAGGTGATTCTGATGCTGATGCCAAGAGTCTTCAGATCACCCTTTCTCAAAAATCACTAAATTTCTATTCCACTAAACCATCTGGTACTCTTGCTCACCCGGTCTTGAAATTCTCTGCTCTGATGGTTCAAACATTGTCTCAGTTCTCTTTATGCCCAAATTTGCATCCCTAGCCTCAACTTCTAGTCCATATTTTTATTACTAATTGCCAGATGCTCTAGAAAATATCAGTATCATTTCAACATCAATATATCTCAACAAGACTCAACCATGGACCTTCTCTTCTCTCTCCATCCTCCACAAACTATACAATTTCCCCTCATAACACTGATGAAACTGGAAGCCTTTCCCCTATTTCTCTTTAGAGAAGGCAGTTTTTCAGTTAGCTAATCTAAGAAGAAAGTCTGGGATACCAATTAAACATATGTTAGAGAATAAATATATTATCTCTCCCACATAAAATATCCTCTGGAGATATGATGACTTTTCTTGAAAAAAAAAAAAACAAAAACTGAGCATTAGACCAACTGCACATCTAATTTTTCTGTTTGTTATTCTAGGCTCATCTAATATGTATTCTGAGTCTGAGAAGAGTCAGTGAGGACAAATGTAATTTCTTACCCAAAAAGTAGAGTTGCAGAACTTCTCCAGCATGATTCCTGGATCACTTCTGGAATGAAGACTCCTGTATGACTGTGTTGTTTCTTACTCACTCTTTCCCTCAAAGAAGGTGGAAGGCAAGTAGCAATGTGTTATCTCCCATTCTGATGTCCTGATGTTCCAACAAAGGCGGGTCTTCTGACCTTTCATCCCAACAGTTTAATCATTAACCTTGCTGAGATGTGTATTTACATCACCCCAGTGGATAGATATGTGACTGAAGAGCCCCGAGGACAGGCAGACGCACTAATTCCCAAAGTACCAGAAGCTTCTGCTGATGTGTAGATATTTAAAAGAAGCCCCTGAAAGATGTCGAGCCAGCTGTTGCCAGCCTTTCTGGCTCCTGAGGACACCTGACCTAAAAAGAGAAGCATCACTTGGGAGGGCCTGTACTCCTAAACGTGCCATTTTACTTCTGCTCTCAGGCCTTAGAGTTTATAGAAATGTGAAATATCCTACTTCTTTACATTTTTAATTAAGAACTAGAATTTAAAATATTAAAAATAGTGTAAACTTTGTTTGAATAAGTCAGAGTTTAAAATAGCATATCCAATGTGAACCTACCTATGTATATGTAATTTATGCATTTATGCAATAAAATGTTAATTTAGCTGTTAGGATTGTGAATGAAAAAATACTGTAAGCCATATCAGTAAACAAAGAATGCTGAAGCCATCAAGTCATTGGCCAACTCAGGATGCACACAAGAAGGGAGGCCGGTCTCTGCAGCCATACTGAGAGGACTCAGAATATGAAAGGACAGGATACTGGCCTTAGATAGCTAGGTGCCTGTCAAAGGAATGATTTCAATGAGCCCAGACCTTTGCTCCTTGCCATACATAGAAAAGTGCTAAATTCTTTAACTTGAGATGTCTGGTTTTCTTTTTAATGTTCCAACTACCTGGTCTTTGCTGTAAAACTCCTATATATTCTGGCTTCTCCCCTACCTCTTGGGAGCAGTCCCTCTGAGTGATCTAGGAGGCTGTCATCCTGGGCTTGAAGGGCTTCGAGTCCTCAGAAATGTCCACCGAATAAAATGTAACTCTCAACTTTTAGGTTGTGTGATTTTATTTCAGTCGACAGGACTGTGGACCATTTTATTGTCCTTTTTGCTTGTCTGTATTTTCTGATGTTTCCATAATTGTCAGCTATTATTTTTGTAATAATATTTTTAAAGCAAATTATTTGTAGTGTGGTGAAAAAAACATGTAATGTAAAATTTACCATCCTAACCATTTCTAAGTGTACTGTTCAGTAATGTTAAGTATAGTCACACTGTTGTGCACAATCTCCAGAACTTTTTCATCTTGCAAACTTTTTCATCTATACACATTAGACAACTACCTCCACCCTCCTTAGTTTTTCTTTTAAAATCAGGGCACATTGAGGGGCAGGTATAGCTTAGTAGTAGAGCACATGCTTAGCATGCATGAGGTCCTGGGTTCAATCTGGTACCTCTGTTATAAAAATAAAGTAAAATAAAATAAAAGCAGTGTACCCTAAAATAACAGCAGCTGGACATGCTTGCCAACATATTAAAGTGTAAACACCATCATTTGGAGGATCATGTGGTACCATTTTAGTTGTTAACACAAAAAAACACTCTTCGTTCTGTGGTATATACAGACTGTATCTACAGAGATTAACAAAACAAGAGAGCAATGCATACTTTAATGTATATATACCATATAATTTAATGTATATTTTAATGTCTGGCCAAAGGTTAACTATACCTTTGGTTACCTCAAATTCACAAATGATAAAAATATTTACCACTACTACAGGTGGATATGTTCTGGATTATTAATATCTGAAAGGAATATAAATTTTATTTAGACATTCCTTTAGTTATCTTCTCATAAGATAACCATAAGATGAACTTCCACACTTTTCTATGTGTCTATAGCAGCGTAAAATGATTTAGGCCTTGGGATGAGGTAAGATCCAGGATCAGATAAAGGAATGACATCAGTATAGTGGCTTTGGCACAGACCTCTAACCATACCAACAGAATCAAGCTGGAAAGATGATGTAATTATAGCTTTTTAAAAATCCACAGTGAGGATACAAAGAAATCTAAACGAACCAAATGACAGCTTGGTTTGGCTTGTAGGCCAAATCCAAATTGACTTGTTTTCGTCTGGCCCTGGAGTGAAGAATGGTTTTCACATTTTTAACTATAAAGTGTGAAAAAGACTATTCAGCATGAACAGACTTTCAATAAGAATTTCTCAGTTTTGCCTCTTGCCCTCAAAGCCCAAAATATTTACTATTTTGACCCTTTAAAGAAAAAGTTTGCCAACTAAACTCCAGAAATGACAAGACCTTTACAAGATAGGAGAGGGGCACAGAAGATTTCATCTCTGCCTGGGAGCAAGGAGGAAAAATATACCATAAGGGGGGTTCAGGAGAAACCAGTCTATATTCTAACGAACTTTTCCAGGCCATGTGTGGGGCTAGCATTATAATTTAGAGGAGCCCCAGAAACAGACTGCACTAACCCCAACTCTTTGCCACACTGGACTTACTAAATGCTAAAAACAGTACGACAAAATGGGAGGAGGCAGTTAGGAGAGCTGAGAGTAAACACCTGGCATTCTAAGCTTTCACCTACAGAAAGTTAGGGCAGAGGCAAAAGAGCTGAGAGAAATCCCTCCAATGCAATTACACCTTCACAGAGAGTGAGACAACACCAATCATCCTCAGAACAGCCAAGGGAGGCAGCGGGGCTGATAGAGGTCTCCCAGGAAAACAGAAAGCAAGGAGCAGCAACGAGGGAAAACAACCCAGAGAGCTTTACCAAGATTTTCTCAGCTGGGTCCTACCATCAGAATCAAAACAAGTACACAGCCTCAAGGTGAATCTCGTTCCAGCTTACCCAGATCCCAAAGGTCCACAGCTCACCTTCCCTGACTCTTCTGGTGAGTGGTACAGGTAGTGATGGAGCTTTTTGGCTCTCACTAGCCGAACCGTTTTTCAGAGTTGCATTTATCAAATTATTCTTCCCCTCTGGCATCAGTGATGTGGGATTTTGGCTGTCTCACCATTCACTGGTGGTGATTTCTATCAGGTAGCGTTCAACAGGAATCCATTCTGTGGCAGGTGGCAGACAACAGGAAATTTGGGGTTTTTTTAGCCTTGCTTTCTTTTGTCTTTCATAACTCTAATATTGCTGTTACTGAATCAAATTGGGTCTGCTCACTCATGCACAGTAAAGCCAACCTACTGACACGAGGTAGTGGTACAGGAAAGTGCAGCATTTATTGCTGGGGGCAAGCAAGGAGTCCAGGGCAGCCAGTACTCAAAACGTGCCGATGGGTTTCGGGAAGGCATTTTTAAAGGCAAGGTGAGGGAGGGGCTTCCCAGGGTAAGTGATCAGCTCGTGCACAATTCTCTGATTGGCTGATGTTGAGGTAACAGGGCGGTGTCAGAAGGTTATCAATCCTTAGGCGCCAGTAGGTCTGGGGGCTACGTGCTCATGATCATCAAGTACTTAATTTCTTCCATTTGGTGATGATTTTAGCATCTGTAAAACAACTCAGGAAATGTGAATCAGATACTACTATCTAGGTACTTCAGAGAGGAGCTAAAGCAGAGGATATGGGGGAGGGGTCTGTCCCAGGAAGGTCCTATCGGGTCCTGCATAGTTACATTTCCTGGCATTTATAACTATGTTTGAGACTGTTCTTATTATCATGTGCTTCTGATCAGAGTAAGAATACACTGTGTATATTGCATGAACACCAATGTGTAATTCTAAGGCTCAGAGACTTTCTCTTCCCCCCAAACCTCTAGCTTTTTTTCATGTCTACCCATTAGTTGTCAATATCTGTTAAATGGAATTCCTACGCCAGGTATGACAAAAATATACAGGAACTTTTGACTCTAATAAAGGACAATATTTAAGTGGACTTAAACAGAAAGGAACAAAAATCACTAGCATACAGGTGTCAGCTTTCTTTGATTAGCATACTAAAGTTTCTAAATTAAAACAGAACTCCAATTTAGGTCCCTTCAGGACTCTTTAAATAAGGCTAGAGAGAGAAAAAAACTATGTTATTAAAATTTAGGAAATTAAAATTTTTAAAATGAGGCTCCATTACATAAATTAAGGTTTATACATTGCCAAACTCTAAGCAAGTTTTATTCTTTTAAAAAATTGAAAAACAATACCAGTATTACAGTTCCCTGCCAGATTCAAAAGGAAACCATGAAATGACTCAGAATCACTGTAATGATATTCCTCCAAGGATCTTTTTGCTGTCAACTGAAAAAAAAATGCGCAACCTAAAAGTTGAGAATTATGTTTTATTCGGTGGAAATTCTAAGGACTTCAAGCCTAGACTTCAGCCTTCCACATAGCTCTGAGGGACTGCTCTGAAGAGGTAAGAGTAACCAGGGTATATAGGAGGTATATATAACAAAAACCAGGTAGTTGGAACATCAAAAGATTACTGTTAATTAAAGAAAACCAGACACCCCAAGTTAGTGAATTTAGTGCTTTCTTTGTACAGGAAGATGCAAGAGTCTGGGCTCCTTGAAATCATTCCTTTGATATGCACCTTTGCTATCTAGGGCCAGTATCCTGTGCTTTCCCATCCTGAGTCCCTTCAAGGTGCACCGTTGTGGGTGGCTGCAGTGGCTGAGGCTTGGCAGCAGGCAGCCCACTTATCTCCATCCTGAATTCCCTCAGGGCTCACCATCAGCGGTGGCTATAGTGGCTTGATGGCTGCTACATCCCTTGTTTACTGATATGGCAGGCAATGCTTTTCATTCACAGCTCCTTGAACTCAGTGATTCTCGAACTTTTTGGTACTAGGGCCCTTTTTATATTCTTAAAAACTTATGAGGCTCCCAAATAATGTTTTTATGTAGGTTACATCAATTGATATTTACTATGTTAGAAATTAAAACAAAAAATTTAAAATATTTATTAGTTCATTTAAAAATAACAAATATATTTCATGTTAACACAAATAATGTATTTCTATCTAAAATAACTATCTTTTCCAAATTAATTTAAAAATACTGAAAATTTTTCACATTTTTGCAAATAGCTTTTAATGTCTGGCTGGACATCCAGACAGCTGGATTCTCATATCTGTTTCTTCATTCAGTGTGTTGTGATATCACACACTATGCGGTTTCTAGAAAACTCCACTGTACACTTGCTAAAGAATG